GGCAGAGCTGGATTTCACAGAAAAGTTAACAGACAAGTGAATGCTAAAATGATATTGTTTTACAGAAATTAAATTGCTCCTTGTAATGTGAATAAGGTATTCACTGTAACTATAGATCTTCTGGCTTTAATATACATAAATTAAAATGAGCTGGGGCCTGGTGCGGTGGCTCACGCCTGTAATCCCAGCACTTTGAAAGGCCGAGGCGGGCGGATCACGAGGTCAACAGATCAAGGCCATCCTGGCTAACACGGTGAAACCCTGTCTCTACTAAAAATACAAAAAAATTAGCCGTGCATGGTCGCACGCGCCTGTGGTGCCAGCTACTCGGGAGGCTGAGGCGGAAGAATCGCTTGAACCCAGGAGGCGGAGGTTGCAGTGAGCCGAGATTGTGCCACTGTACTCCAGTGTGGTGACAGAGCAAGACTCTGTCTCAAAAAAAAAAAAAAAAAAAAAAGAGCTGTATAGTGACTAATTTCTCCCACCACTTCTTTTTCTCTTCTGTCAAGTGCTAAATAGGTATTGGTACAGAACAAATTAATGTCATTTGGTCTTCACTTTACGGGAATGGCTTGTTACAAATTAAGTCTACATCTATTCTCTCAAATTTTTTTTTAAGATATTCCTGATTACTATTTTTCTTTATTATTGGGGTTTAATTCACATACTATACAGCTTATCCTTTTGAAGGGTACAGTTCAGCAGTGGCTTTTAGTATATTCACAAACTTCTGCAGCCATTATCATTAATTCCAGAATGTTTTCATCATACCAAAAATAAATCCCACACCCATTAAGCAGTTAATATAGTTTAGATATTTGAACTCTCGAAATCTCATGTTAAAATTTGATCCCCAGTGTTGGAGGTGGGGCCCAGTAGGGAGTGTTTTGGTCATGGAGGGTGGACCCCTCATGAATGGCTTGATGTCATTCTTATTGGAGTCAGTGAGTTCTCACTGTTGTTAAAAAAAAGCCTGCTGGCACCTCCCTCCTCTGTTTCCTTTTCTCTTGCCACGTGAAATCTGCTTTCCTTCATCTTCCACCAGGAATGGAAGTTTCCTGACGCCCTCAACAGAAGCAGAGGCTGGTGTCATGCTTCTTGTATAGCCTGTAGAACTGTAAGTAAAAAATCCTCTTTTCTTTATAAATTACCCAGCCTAGGCATTCCTTTATAGCAATGCCCCACACTCTTCCCCACCAGACAGTAGGTTCCCAATTATTAAATTATTTTCTGTATAGATTTTCCTATTCTGAACATTTTATATAAATGGAATCATAAAATATGTGGGCCTATGGGTCTGGCACCTTCACTTAGCATAATTTTTCAAGGTTTATGTTGTAATCTGTGCCAGTATTTAATCCCTGTTTATACCTGAATAATGTTTTATTTTGTGGATGAGATCATATACATTTCATTTATAATTAATTAATGGACATTTGGGTTGTTTCTGCCTTTGAGCTACTATAAATAATGCTGTGATGAACATGTGAGCGCAAATTTTTGTGTAAAAATGTTTTCGGTTCTCCTGGAGGTGGGGCCTAATAGGAGGTGTTTTGGTCATGGAGGGATGGATTTAGGAGTGAAATTGCTCAACTAGGAGTGAAATTGCCCAACTGTTTTCCAAATAATTGCACATTTTACATTCCCACCAGAAATGTATGAGGATACTAATTTTTCTGCTTTCTCACCAAGACTTGATATTGTGATACTGACTTTCTGACTATAGCTATCCCTGTGGGTGTGAAATGGTATCTTAGGTGGTTTTGATTCGTGTTTATCTAAGGATTACGGATGTTGAGCAACTTTTTATTTGCTTATTAGCCATGCATATCTTCTTTGAAGAAATGTGTATTCAAATTCTTTGGCCATTTTGTAATTGGGTTGTCTTTTTATTCAGCTGCAAGAGTTTTCTCATTAAGGTCTGACAGGGTAATACCACACCAATGCAATGATAAATGCAAAAAACAGGGGCTCTGAAATTGCATGGTTGTATTCAGTTATATGGTGGTCATCCATGAGATCCAGAATCAAATTTAATTATTTGGAAATGTTTAAGATTATAATGTTTCATAATTTGTTTTTTAAAAAATGCACACTTAAAATGTTTGCTAGAGAGCTCTAATATCCTCAAGAATATCTGCCATGTAAACACTGTTCTGTGCATAGACTAAATCTCTAGCAACAGACAGAAAGAGCTGAGTGCTCTTTGAGTGAAAGAATGGGCTTGACCAGTGTTTGAAGATTTAAAAATCAATATGAAGACATGTTGTGACATTAGGATATGATTATATTTTTATATTTAAGGAGAGTCTATCTCATTACCATCAGAGAAACTCTGTAATTTTTAACTCTATAGCTGGCAATATCCATGAATTCAGCCCAGGTCATCAGATGCTGGAAGCACCTGGGTCAGATTGACTGTCTCCATTTTTTTCTTGCTTACTTCAAAGCTGTGAAGAAATCCAAAGCCCTGCTGATATTCTGCCCTGACATATTCCTTTTGAATCCTGGAAAAGTTTTCCCTTCCTACAGGGATCCTCCAAACACAGTTATCCTTACACTGAGCCCTTATTCATTGTTGGTCAGTCAATTTTGCTGATCTATACCAACTCAGATCTAGAGCCAATGCTTAAGTTGAACTTTCCTGAGCATTTTTTTAACTTTAGATATTTTTTTTAAATTACCACAAAATTAGTTTAGAAGAACTCACAGAGGAGAGGTACATTGGGAAGGAAATAGCTTTGAGGCCTTTTATGGATTTATGACCAAAGCTATCCAATCAAATTCCTCCAGGTATTTTTGCTATTTCCTATGGATATATTTAAATAATACACATTTTAAACTTTCCTTAGTCAACTTAAACAAATAATTAAATTCAGTGCCAAAGAGATACTGAATCTAAAAGATAAAAGTACATCCATATTTTTCATAATGATTTTTCAATTGTTATAGAAAGAAATATGAGACTACGTAAACAGAAAAATAAAATTTTTTTTAATTTTAACAACCCACATTTAAAAATATATCCCAAGAAAATATTCCCATCACTTATTATCCCACAGAGTAATTTGTTCAAGAAGGTTAAAGCAGTGTTGCTTATAATAGTAAAAGAGTCAGAAATATATTTCCCTAAAGATTAGGGTTAAGAAAACTATTCTAGGTGGGGCGTGGTGGCTCACACCTGTAATCCAAGCACTTTGGAGGCCAAGGCGGGCGATCACCTGAGGTCGAGAGTTCAAGACCAGCCTGGCCAACATGGTGAAACCCCGTCTTTATTAAAAA